AAATGTGATGTTTTTAATGTTGTTGGAAATGTTAGATTTTAGTTGGCAACTGAGTATAATTGTTTCTGTAATTTAAATATTTTTTTTTAACCCTTAGATGCATAAGTGGGTCTTTTTTGACCCGGTGAGGTGGTTTTCTTGAAGTATCTTTGTAATTACATTTTTTTATCATTTCATATTCCAGCTATTCCTCAAAAAACATGTTTTGGATATCATGCCATTCACATTTTAAATTTACATTTTAAGAAATTGTAGTTTTTGTATTACTACCCCAAGCTTCCATAAGTGGGTCAAAAATGTCTAAAATTATAAATAGTGAAAAATTAAATATAAAATATTTCTAGTGTGAACCAAAATATATGTGATTTTTTTTAACCAAAATGACAAAAATGGCATAAAAACACATATTATTCTAATACGGGTCCTTTTTGACCCACTTATGGAAGAGTGTAGGGTCCAGTCACTCGTGCGTCTAAGGGTTAAGTAACAGTGTGAGACATTTTACAGTGTACAGTAGGATATGTCAATTATTAGCTAAATGAATATATAAATTAAATAAAATACGATTATTTTAGCATTATGTATGAAAAAAGTTAATCCTTTTCATTTTTCTACCTTCTATTGTTTTTCGCTATATGTCCCTTCTGGGTTTCTGTAGAATTGCATGATCCCCAAAAGGTTACTTTTGACCAGAGTCCTCATATGAGCTGCACTTTATTGCTAGATCTAATAGTCCACTATATATTGGATGTGTGCAGCATCTATCAGTGTGTCACCGCCAATTTCCGTACAATTTGTACAGAAACACAGACGACTGTTGAAGCCGTACAGTCTGCCGCATCAAATGTAATCCTGGGTCAGAGTACAAATCTGTTGGAGTGCTGCTCGAGTCGGACATTTTGTATCAAACCTTGTGTATAGAAGGTGAGAGAAATATGTCCCGCATAAAGGGAAGAAATCACTCACTACCTTTCTCTATTATTAACAACTTCTTTCCTATTCCACTACAACCGTTTACAATGTTTGTACTACTCTTTTTCAATCTTTTGCTATATCAGGAAGTGAACTCCTTGGTAATATCTAAATGTGTGTATTTAGAGATCTAAAAAAAAGCAACTACAGAATATTATCCAGGCATAAAGTCAATTTAAATGTTGTTTCTAATCTATTGATATTAGGCACTTTCACACCGCAGTACTTTTCCCACAAAGGTTCATCAGAACTTAGTTCATCAAAACTCTTTAGTTCTGATGAACTAAGTACAGATCGCGTTCACACCGGAATAAGTTCCCTGGGGGAGGATAAGGCAAACTTCTTCTTCTTCTGCTTTGGGTTTACTGGCAGGCCGCAAACAACTTCACGGCGTATACTGCCACCCAAAGTCCCCGGCCGGAAGTCCCCGGAATTGGGGACTGGCTTCAGTATCAGACATAGGAACCTTTTTCTCCCACGAAAGTACCTGCTCTCTAGCAGGGACGGAAAAGGGGGTAAAATAGGTTCTGATTAACTAATTTGAGTTCCGGCTCTTTTTGGTGTGAACGCGACATTTCTGAACTATATCGGAACTAAAGTGGGAAAAGTACTGCGGTGTGAACGCGCCTATTTAAATTCCCAAAATGTCCCATATTAATTAGATTTACACTAAATAAATCTTGATGAATAGGAATATTATTTACTTAAATCATAAATCTCATAATATGATATTCTTTCTTTCCTTTTTTTTATGTTAACAAATCCGTTGCCAAAACCACCAATGTGTTATTCAATCTCAAAACACTTTTGAGTTTCCATGCCCTGTACCCCACTGGTCATTGTAAGAAAATGTGTTAAATGTGTTACAGGGTATATGCAGGAATCCTGAAGTTAAACCTTTTAAGACCTTTTTTAAGACCCTTTCCATACATTTTAAGACCTCATCGCCACTGAGTTTTAACCGGTTACATTGTTACACACTTTACCTCACATTGACTATATACAGTATTGATTGTCCTTCCTCCTTATCCTCCAACCATTTGGACCCAAACTTGCATTTCCCCATAACGATGTTGTTTAACAACCGGTGTAAACGGACCTTCGCGCGCTATCAAGCAGTGAACGCGCGATGTCCTGTTCAGATGACGTCAAATCCAACGGGATGCCATAAATAAACTACACAGAATCACACTACACACCTACGCAATGATTACATTCAGGCAGACTTTAGAATACCTCTTTGGACAATTTATATACTTATTGAAAACAAGCAACAAAATATAATACCTTGAAAAATGCCGTTTAATACTTTTTAATAGCCTTAATTTTCGCTAAATTGATTTATCAACTTTTAATTCTTTTTAAGACCCCGCGGACACCCTGTGTTAAAAACCAATTACATATGTGAGATTCAATAACTTCCTAACACAGCTGGACACTGTTGTTTTTTGTTGTAACATTACACAGACACAAGTCAATAGTGCATTTCTTGGCACTATTTTTCGGACGATTAGTACACATTTTGGGGCCTGTAGATATTTAGAAAAGGGTGCATGTTCTTTATTATGAAAAATCATGTCACCCAGTACAAAAAGTAAGGATTATGGATGTGTTTTAATAGTTTTGGGACATCAATCAACCTCTATGGAAAAGATGAAGTGTTAACAGTGGACCGTCATTGTTTTTTGACAACAAGAAAAAACAAAGCTCAACAATATTGTGTCAAACATGTCCTAACTGAATCAAAAGGTCCCCAAAAGAGCTGCCGGTTTAGAGTGGTTATAGCTGGAGGCCCATTTGCTGCCAAGTAAGTGGGTTTGACCACTGAGCCTACCGAACATTTCAGCCAAAATCATCCTCTCTATCTCCCGCTTTCAACTCTGCATCTCCAGTAAGACACTCTCTGGAAAAAAAAAGTACTATCACAAATCTTATCAATCCCTACCCTCCATGATTTAATCAAAAACATGTTTCTTTAAGTTTCTTAAATGCTCTAATTCTCACAGCGATATTTAAAACTCAAGTGTTTCCACCCTGTTTCGGTTTCAACAGGCTATTAACCGATTACAGGAAGTAAGATGCATTTAAAACAGTGTGACATTAGAAAGCTTTGAAAGTCTTATGATATGTTGACTTTTGACCTTTCGGGTGTGTATTTTTATTGTACTCCCTATGTGGCTCTAGTATTATAGCTTGGCTTATAAGATGTGTGAGAAGCCTCAAGGTCTGTGTCAGAAATACAGTCACATTGGACGTAAAACTAATTACCACCAAAAGGTCACCGTGTTAACAGTAGGGAATAGGATAGGTGTTGCGCGTGGTGTGTATTTGACTGTTACAGAATACCTCCGCCTGCCTCCCTGCAGAAGAAAAACTCAAGTACTTTAGGGAGCTTAACTTCCTATAAAGAATAACATGACACTCTCCAGTAATACCAGTTGTCCTTAAATTCACTTGAACCTTCACCATTCAATCATGCTGTGGCGTTAATTAAGCAATACCACAAGTAATAAAGAAGATGGATGACACTCGATCATACATGAGTCCTGAGTCTGTGACAACAACTGAACGCTGGTAAGGTCAGAGCCCAACAATTGATGGAAGTGTCATCCTATCATCGTGGAAATCAGCAGAATCAGATAGTAGATTGACTTCTCACTCGTCCCGGGGTGCAAACAAATGGCCTGAGACATATCGGTGGCCTTGTCCCCAAACGCTAAACCTCAGAATCTAATCAGAGCCAGCGATCGCTCACTTGCTGTTAATGTCATCATTTATGCCTGTCCGATAACTGGCACATACAGTAGGCATATATTGACTTCCCTGTGCTTTAGGAATATGAAGTCCAGAGGCTGACAGTTCGACTCATCAACATCTGTCCAACAGTCTATCATCGAGACGGTCACAAATCGCTAAAATCGAGTCATCAGAAAAATATGAATCTGCAAAAGTGATAATGCTGACTTGGCGTGTTGGAATGTTGCTTTTCTTAGTTTGGTGGTCTTTGAATTGAATTGTATAATATTAATAAAACGGCTGTTTCAAATGTGTTATCTGATTTATAAATGGAATTAAAACATTCATTTACTTTTCATGTAACTTGATATCTCCGCTTCACTCCAGAAATTTGAATCCACCATATTTATATATGAAAGTTAAAGGTACAGATTACAGATTAGATTAATTTACTATTCATTATTATAGATTGACATTTTACATATAAAACAGCAACGTTATAAATTAATCAACCAACCAATATAAACATTAGTTCATATTAGATTTATTTGGAACAGACATAGTGGTATCGTATTGTACTGTATAATCAGATAAGATTACATTTAAATGCATTATCTGAATAATACGTGTTACCTTCAATGTCAATTACATTTTGTCATCAATATTTCTTTGCTTCTGTATAATGCTGGATAACCTCTTCACCAACTTGCACAAATTGAGCAACATTATTCATTTGGAGTCGAATATATGAACCAACCAATGAAATGGTTTTTCCAAAATGTGTTAGTCACTGCAAACAGAAGAGGTTTTGAGCATAAACACATATTAGGATGATGGGTCCAGTAGTATGCAAGATTAGCTTCAGCATGCACTCACACAGCACACAAACACACAGACACACAAACACACACATTATCAGCAGTTTACGTGATTATATGAACAACACTGATTTAAGCAACTTTAAGTCAAATATACTTATCCTACAACCAGTTCTTTAATAGTGGAGAGCAGCACTAACAGCATTTCTATGATTTACCATAAAGCTTCATTTCACTTGGACTTGTTTGTAGATTTGTGTTTGATCTGCATTTACGATTTAGGCTAAACTCTAGTCGGCACACAGAGGGAGTTAATACTTCCCCAGAGAGATGTTTCCATGTGTGTCATGTTATCAAGAAGAGCCCACCATGTTACTTCATTGGTGTGTCTTTCTCTGCCGGAGCCGGTTTCTCAGTGGAGGCTCAGAAGTCACAAACGTTTGACCAAAGAGAAGCAGAGAAAAACAGACTTACATGCAAAGGTGAGGCTGGCCTCCCTGCTGACGATGGTCCCGAAAGAGTTGGAGGCGAGGCACTGATACGTTCCAGCATCCTGGTCTTTGTTGAAATGGCTGATTCTGAGGTTTCCTCCAGAAAGGCTGTAGTGAGATCCAGATTTGGGATTGATTTCTGTGCCGTTCAGTTTCCATCTGAGAAAAAAAGATAAATAAATGGAGAAAATTAACATGTAAATGAACAAGTTTGTTCGGTGTAGACTCGGGCGATGGATGCGTTCCAGGCTACAAGACGAGGAACGTGACTTAGGCTACATTTGATTGTTTTTTAAAAGGTAGAGAGGGCCCAGAAATCACCCCCCCCCCAGCTTTGTGTTAATCTAAGCAGCAGTGAACCACAGTGGTGCCAAGGACTTGACTCTCTTTGAATAGATAGCATTGCAGGCCATCCATCTTTCCAGAACCCAGTCAAAGTGCATTCAAATGCTGCTTAATCATTATGGTGGCACAATTAAAACAAATGCCTGCATCCTTTCCTTCACACATTCTAGGCCATTCCACACAATGATCGCGGGTGTAAGGGGTGATCAACAAAGGGTATAATACACCTAAAATGGCAACAGATTCTTCAATCTCTTCGCCCAGATGCATCATATTAGAAAAACCAGATGGGGGGAAAATCAGTCAGAGCAGAAAAATTGTTTCAAGCCATAACTTACTACAGCCAAGGCAAAAAAAGAAAAAGATCTCACAAGCTGTTATTTGTTGTCAATGATTTATAACCATCAAGGCAATAACAATCTCTGCGCGGATAAACAAGCATAAATGGAGCGTTTTATACCTTATTGGAAAATGGACATTGCAGATTTGATTAGTGCCCAAGGTGATTTAGCTGTTGATTATGTCTTCGCGGAGAAGTTCTACATTTCCGTCTGCTTTGATTTCTTAATGTTCTCCAAATGATTTAAGGGTCAGCTGGGAAAACAGTGTACTCTTACATTTGGAAAAGAAAGCGGCTATGATGACAAAAAAGGCTTTTCTTAAGCCTTTGTGAACAGCAGACAGAGGTTATGAAAAGCTGTGTTTGTGCACTTATTTGTGCCAATTTGGTAACTGGAGGTATAAAAAGCTGTGAAGTGCTGACAATGGTGTTGGGTATTTCATTGCTATATTTTATATGTTATAGTATATTATCACAGGGCTTATTTAAGGAGAATAGAATGTTGCTAAGGAGGATCAAGGGACTATGTGCATTCATATCAATCCGCAGAAAGGAGTTCGGTCAATTTAACGTCAGCTGTGGAGAATAAAACAACAGTTTTCTCCATCAGAAATCACCACGGAATACTTTTGGATTATTCATTTTTATATTTGTGGAAGCAAGAAACTTTGGATCCATGATGGCTTAAGTGTCTCCAGAAAAGAAAAACAGCGCAAGAGAATGAAAGACGTTAGAAGACAGAGGGCTGGACGTCAGAGAAATCAGCAGAAGAAGACAAACAGGAAGTCAACATTAACAGGAACAGCAGAAGAAGAGAGACAGGAAGTAAACATTAAAGGGAACATGGTATGGGCTCTGGAGGTTTTTAAAGACTAGTTAATGGAAAATAAAATGATAACATACAGATAGTTACAGAAAACCTCAATCAGTGCTGACGTCATTTTAAGTTACGTTGCTGTCGCGGCAGTTCCAGCTGTTATTACACAATGGAAGTTAGGGCTGTGCAATTAATCGTATTTTAATCGCAATTACGATTTTGGCCTGCCACAATTACAAAAACAACATAGTCCAAAAAAAAAAGTATTTTGCTTTGCTAGGTTGTGACACTGCAACATATTTGATCTAATTAATTTGTGTCTCATTTATTTGTATTTATCATATTTATATATGTTTAGTAGCTTGTGGAAGTGCGCTCCAAAATATTTGTTGATCTTGTTTATTGGTATTTATTATTTTGATATTATTTATTTAAATGTATCATTTATTTTATTTATTTTTGTATTGGTTTTTCAGTTGAATTATACGTTCAGGGTAATCAACAGTTAAAAAGATACTGTTCAAATTATTATTTGTATTTGTTTTAAAGTTCAATAAATAGATTTTTTCAAAGTCAATGAATAAAACTATTGACCCAAATAATCGTGATTATGATTTTTGCCATAATCGCACAGCTCTAATGGAAGTAATACGATAACTCTATAAAACAAACTAATTTGCCTTTTTCGTTGCAAAAGATCAACTGTGTTAATGGAGTCAGTACAGGATCATCATAATACACAAGTAGGAGCAGAGTACATGAAAACCCATGTTGCTCACCCGCCTACCCGCACTGAAACGTCTTACAAACAGCAATAGATGTGTGGGCCCGGCATTGCAGCACTCACAAAGCGCCTCTACAGAATGTTTTTCTTTTAATAGACAAAGTGTGTGTAGCACAATAGTCTTTCACAGCCCTTCTCCGGTTCAGTCATAAGTAAGTGCGTGTTCTCAAGAGTCTTATTACTACACACAATAGAGAGAAGCCTGAGGGGGGTGGTGGCTGCGTCTCTCAGGACTACAGCAGAGATTCATTTGCAGCAGAGGTGGAAAAAACAAAGATCAACATAAATATCTCACAGCCATGCAACCCCTTTGACTGATATTACAAAAAGCACAGTGGACCGGGGAGGGAGGAGAGTGTCAGTCAGTATCGGACAACAATAGTGGCGTTTGAAAAGCGGTCCCGATATGTGTTTTCTTATCACATTCATAATTGCTAGGCGAGAGCATTATATCCAAATTAGAACGATTTATGGGGCACTATTATGCTTTTTAGGATTTTGCTTTCCTAAAGTGTGTTATATAGGTTTTTGTGCATGTAAATGGTCTGCAAAGGCATAAATCCCAAAGTTCCCCGCTGCCTGGAACACCTCCATTTAACTACTTTGTCCCTAGTGACATCACTACGTAACACTTGCACTTAATTTGGCTAACGCTCCAACACATTATAACTGATAGGCTAAGGGGCGGGACATCTCTAAGCGGTTGACCAATCACAACAGAACAGGACAGCTAACCAATCAGAGCAGACTGGGCTCTGGTTTCAGACAGAGGGTGAAAAGAGGTGCTGCAGCACAGGCAGTATGAGAAAAATAAAGAGCTTTTGAACATTAAAGCATGGAGACATGTCCCAGTAGAGGTATAGAGAATATAAAACCTGGAAATTGAGTATAGGGCACCTTTAATTGGGTGATGGCTTGAAAACTGTTTCAAAAGATTTAGCCGACAGTGCCCGTTCTATACCTCTTTATCCATGTTATTTTAAAACATTAGACCAGACAGTTAATTGGACCTAGAACATGTTTTGATGTATCTGAGTGAGTAATCACGTCTCATGTTGAAAAGGATAACTGATTTGCACAGTTGGAGGCCAACATTGTGAATCGCTTAATGTACTATATCGTCTGGTAGTTATTCATAGCGGTAGTTAAAGATAATTGGCCACCAAGAGCTGCCAATGTTCTTTTCTGACTAATTGAATAGCCTTTGACAGCTCAGACAGTCACTTTAAGCCAATTAGGTAACAACTTTAACGCCACTAAGTGACAGATATTGTAATTTTTGTGAAACTCAAAACATTCTTACAGATATATCGACACCGTGAGAAAAGGCCACATGAAAGTTACTGTGGATCCAGTGATTGTCCAACCTATCCTTCTGTGTGGGAAGCGTGGAGCAACAGATTACATCAAACACATATAAACCAGATTATTTATTAATTCCTTTTACAAAGATTTATTCTGGCAAGCTGGCCAAAACAGCAGCTCCATTTGTTCGGCACATGCTTCATGCAATCATGTAACAGGCCGTGTACACAGTAGCATAATACCAAACCATCTGGCTTATGAGGCTGTGAATGTTACGCGGTCTGTTTCTTTTCTTAAGCCTGGTGTTTTGGGGGAAAGTACTTTCTACAACTACACTTCTCATAGTTGAGTCTAGACCAGAGGTCGCGTTAACCGAATATTTTCCACCTATGACGTAATTATTTTAACAATGACGGAAAAATCGGAAAGCAGTCCGTCATGTTGACAGATTAGAACAAACTCAGAACAGCGCCAACGTTTCCCCGCAGCGAGGATCCGGTATTATGCCGTGTTATGCATGCCCGCCCAAAAGGAAATTATATCGTTTCCAAACCTAACTTTGCTGAACAGATCAACAAAAGTATTTGCTTTACGCTGTGCGCACTCCCGCGAGGTGCTGTGGGCAAGCATAACACGGCGCTAACCGTTCACGAGCGAGCTCTCTCCATTTTCTAAATCTGATCTAAATTGTTTTATCAATATTTTTGGACTTCTTAAATACATGGGATATAAACGTTTTGGTGGGACACTTTTTATATAACTTACTTAAAAAAATCTCCAATTCAAATACATGAATTTGAATTGGAGATTTAAAAACTTTAATTATTTTTGCATTTTAATATTTTGATCATGGGGTAGTGGTGCACTTTAGCCTTGTGGCTGTTTTGGAAAGATCTTGCAAAAAGTAGCCTTCGATTTTGTATTCCCTAAAAAATAAAGACAACGCAATAACAGCAAAAACCCAGCAACATAACTGGGAGGCTCTATTTTTTTTTTAACAAACCAGTTGCTCCAAAGGATAAAATTGCATAACATCATTTAATTTAAAGAAAACAAATAACAGCCACATGGTTATTTGTTTTATTCCACTGAATTTAGCATTGCTTAGCCTTATCTAGTATCAGCTGTTTTGGCATCATTTGGGAGCAGGTATTTTTGTGTAGCATAACTAATTATAGTATACCGCGTAAAGGTGTTGGTAAAACGAAATAATGTAGAGATGTTTTCACATTAATTCAAATTTCTTATATTGTATTTCTACAGAAACATGATAGTGTGGTATTCATCTTTTCCTATCTCACTTTCCTGTAATGTATAGCATGTATAAAAGGATTTTAACCATTTACTTGAGATACTGGAAGTTGATTTTCGTTGCTTACTTTCCTGTTTTTTTTTAAAACAAGAAAATATCTTCTCTTCAATCATGTTTATTGCAGACAATAGCGAGCACATATATTGGCGTGTGGCATGACATGTAAAGCTGTCACAGTTTACAGCTGTCCAGTTAATGAACTTGGAGCATGATTTAGCTTTTGTCCGCTGGTGGAAACACATCTTTAGACGCTCTGACAGGACCGCACAGCGACCTTGAAGGGAAACAGCTGATTAGGTCATCCTCTAAGCTGGCTCAACCCCAAGTATTAAATGTACCAATCCTTACAAATCTCACCCCAGCAATTCCAGTGAGCAAACACGATTGATTTGAACTTTTACTAGCCAGGGATGCTGCAACACAACACAACACTCTTTCAATAGACTAATGGTCCGTGTGAGGGGGAAATAAGGAGGGAAAATACTGCTGCTCTTTGAACTCCACAGCAGATAAAATATGTATGAGCCGGGTTCATGAGAGCTTAACAAGTATTCCTCGCTTACAGATAGACAAGAAAGGTTTCCAGCAGGGGGTAAAGGAAAAAGATCGACCACAAAAGAGAATTCGTGGAATACATTCCTATGATTCTGATCAGCTAAAGCTTGAATTGCGAGGACTAAAATGTCTGTTTTTTAAAAAGAAAACAACAAAGGCTCTCTTGTTGCCGTAGAAAGAGACAAATCCTGGATCAATTTCCTTCGGGATGAATGGAAGACAGAATCTGAGGACACAGTGACAATACCCAGCGCGATATTAGAGGACACTTCCCCCCGTCATTACTGTTAACAGCACAATAAAGTAAGGCACATTTGAAAGTAAAAGCTCCAAACACTTCCCTGAAAGTTGAATGTTCTGTCAGCGGGGTAGCTTCAGGCTTTGTCAGATTAGAAACTTTCTGGTTTCCAGTTTTAGAACAAAGTGTTGTGTAGAGTTTATGGATTAAATTGTCTGAGATTAAAAGAACAATATGTGTTCTCTGTTGTATGGTTTATCGTTTCAGTTTGAAAACCTGGAAATCCATAATTCTGTAATGACTTTGTATTCGTATTATACTATCACGCATTTACACATAAAGAACATTTTTGACAACCCTTTTTCCAATTCTATTGTACTCAGTTTTAAAAGCTAGATCAACACATTGGAATTGTAGGAGGCATGTAGTGTCAGACTGCCCGCTGAGAACATGTTTTTTCACATGCATGTCCATGTGTTTTCAACAAACATCTCTAAATGATTGGAAGCAAGACCATATCAGTGTTCCAGAGATGAATTAATGTTTAAAAAATAGATGTTGATAAAAATATACCATGGTTTATACTGTCACAAATGTATTGTAGTAAAACAAACATGTCTTTCTTATGGCCATTTGGCATCTCTTGAGCTTCCAATTGCTCCCATGCTTGTGTGGATGCAATTAAGATACAGTAGAGTGACATTTTAATTGAGATAGCGGGTGAGATGTATGTTATAGTTAATCTGTTTTATTTGTTAACATTAAGGCAAATCTGAAACATTGCATCTGCGTTTGAAACGTCCTGTTGCACTCTAACCATAGATCTACAGTAACACTTAGTAAAAACACTCAAAAAAGTATGAAAGTGGCTGAGGGATTTGGCTTGGGAATCGAACGGTTGCCAGTTCAAGTCTCTATTGTGCGTAACATATTGTGTTGGTCTTCATGGGACCATGCCAAACAGCACTGCTGAGGTGTACTTGAGCAAGGCACTGAACCCAAAACTACTCCTGTCCTGGGGTGATCATAACCTTAATCTTATTCCCAAAACTGTCATTATTTTACAGGCCACAATCTGAAGTTATAAAATGTAGATTTTTAAATGATTTTTAAGCCATTCAGAAATGTTCCTCCTCAAAAGACATAATAATGACACTGGAAAGTTCTGAAGCATAGGTTTGATTTTCGTCAACAAATCAATCCCACGAAAATACACCAAAAATATGTTCGGCTGAAAACTCAACTGAAAACCCAATAGGAAGTGTTTCCATGCAGCGCTTCCTTGGTATTCTTACACTTGTTGTTACTACTTTACGAAAGTAACAGCTCTGAGTTCTTCCACCTTGTCACCGGCTTTAAATCATGTATGGACACCCACTTCTGAACTGTATTTCTCACCTGAAAACAATCTCCAGATCTATGGCTAGCCAGGGCCTAAATATACTATTTGTTGACCTCTTTCTCTCCTCATCCATCCTTTGATTTATAAAAGAGACAGCGACAGGAAGAGGTGAGGAGAGAGGAGCTGCTATGGGAGCAGAGAAGAAGAGCTCCTCTGGGAGGCATGGCAGAGAGTGGGTGGGGAAAAAATAGATTTAAGGGACAGTGAGTCTGGATATGGGACGGCCACATGTTACCTGTCACTCAATACATTCTGTCTTCCCTGCCCTGACTATGGGTTAGGAGCACTGTCTTGTATTCTCAAAAACGTTTTGAAGGGGAACTTATTTTCTCCGGGGAAACAGTTACAGTATTAAAGTCATGGTTAAGCTTTGGGAATTGAAACAAAATAACTTAGTTAAAGTGGACCTATCATACTATTTTTAGGCAATAGCATAGGTCTCAGATATATAAAAATATATAAAAAACATGTCTATGAAGTGTTTTGCTCAAAATACCAAACAGATCTCCCATTCTAGCCATGCCTCATATCCCTCTATTTCACTTCCTGTTTCAAAAGTGCTGATTTGGGGTATAAAGCTTTAAAAAAAAAAAGAAATTATAAAAAAAAGGAGGGGGCTGAGCTCATGAGGGACCCAGCAGCTACTGTCTAAACTAAATACTGTGGTGATGAAACGCCATATCATGGATTATCAAGGATTATTTCTGAAACAGTCTGGAGCTCAAAGGCTTTCTCTCTTTCTGATAGGGCCGTGGGTGTAAAGCCAGCCTACATTTCCGATATTACGTCATATCGGACGCAAATCTGGATCAGCTCTGTTGTAGCACCGTTTTTAGAGATGTGGGTACGGAGGAAAAGAGAGAGGGTTTTATTTTCTGACGCTGCGTGAGTTCCCCGACACACCGGGGACACATATTTATGTATAAAAGACATCAAAAAGTGCATTTTGCATGATAGGTCACCTTTAAGTTTAGAAAAAGATTAGGGTTAGCATAAAAAATATATAAGATTTACATGAGATAACTATGTAACACGTATAAGATGTAAGAGCTAGGAGGTGAATTCATTGTTGGTTTTGACATTTTTAAGGGATTTGTTGACAATAGGGCTGTCCCGAATACCATTTTTCGAGCTCCGGATATCCGCGCGGGGGGTGCGTAGTAATCAGCAGCGAACCGCTTCATCACGTGTATTTCAGTTTATTCACGGCATTCATTTTGTTATTCTACAGTATTGTTGTTTTATAATTATATGTTAATGTATATAACCCAATTTGTGTTCTTTGAAATTGAAAAGGATATTGCATTGTGTGTGTTACTTTCGTTGCAGTTGTATAATGTCTTAAGTGTAATTTGGCTTGACTTCCTATTTTGTATGGACATGCTTTTATTTTGAAGGAGAGTTAGCGCTGTTGACAGGAAGTTGTTGTTGCTATGGAAACAACGGAGATTAACGGAGAAAAGTAATATCTACATATAAAGACGGAGAAAGTAAACGATAAAGTTTATGGTTAAGTGTTAGCACCCCCCGAAGAGGCACAAGCTCTTACGTTGATATTGGAGATTTCAATAAATTCAATTTGGCAGCCGCAGTGCAGCGAATATCCGAATAACGAAATTGAAACCCGAATAGTACTCCAACGAACGAATATTTGAATATACAGTTGACAACTAGAACAATACAGAATAATAACCAGACTCATCCTTTAAGTTGTGCTGATTCTAGCAGTTTTGAAGGTAGAATTTGCTTTAACTTGACATTAAAGTGTCATTAATTAATCAGTTGTGGAAAATCCCTTAATTGTGTGGTAACCCATTAGTGCCTCTAAACCTGATACATTTGGAATTTGTCTCGACTTGCCAAAGCACAAATCTGAAGATATATACCAAATTGATTGAACCATTTGCTGAAAAGTGAGTTATTTCTATATATTTAATTATACGTTAGGATAAAACAAAAGTCACATGTGACCAAAGACTACATATATCATGGTATCATAAGAAAATATCTGTATCTCAGAAATGACAAGGAGACAAATCAAATTTAAATTAAGAAAATATTTGACATGCAATACAATGTTAGTCCATCCAAAGTATGTCCGTAGTGGCATTTCTTTTAATTATTAAATACTGACTTTTCTCCTACTCTCATACTTACAAAAAATAAACCTTGTTAGTTAGATTTTCTACTTAAGAAAAGCATCTGATTACTTCCTCCACAGGTGCACTCAGGAACCATGTGTTAATAGATGAGAATGAGCCTCTGCCCATAGAATAATCAGGCTTTTAGTATAATCATAATGTACTGCTTGGGTTAAAATAAAATGAATATGTTACATTATGGGACAGGAAGTATGGGACGTATTTCATTTCTCCAATGGTAGACTCTCTGGGAGCTGCCACCACAGATAGAAGGAATGTTTAAGACAAGATGGAGATGTTTGCCATTGACAGCTTGTCTAGAAAATGAACGGTGTTGACATTGTCAGTGGTATAAATCAATGGGAGGGAAAAATGAGTAGAGGGGGGTAGTAGATGAAACCCTGCTGTCACACACTCACCGGTACATGGGGGGTGGGTTTCCCTGGGCTTCACAGCTGAACACCACCTCCCTGTTCTTCTCCACTATCTCCACAGGATACACAATGCTGCCAGGCTGCTTGGTGAACACGGGGCTCTGCAGGATGCTGCTTCCTGGAAAACAAGCAAAAAACCACACGGATGAGTTTTAACTTGGCATGTTTGTAGGGAAGCCAATTAGTCGGTGGCAGAAACAGGTGCTTTAAGTGTTTAGAAGGGAAACAACCACAAGCCGACAAGACATATCAATTTGAACCGCTTGTCACAACACCTCGGCACGGAGAAGACTGATTTGAATTGAGACGTGTCTCCAGTGGCAATTTAAGTGGTAATAGGATATAGGGTCCTGATTTATGCTGAACAATTATCTGGAAATGCCTTCATTTAGTTTAGCCGACCTTTTTTTGTTTTATTAGTTCAATTATTTATTTGGTTGTCCGTGCTATTATGTGTCCATGCAGAGGTGTAATCGTTTGGTTTCATGTGATTCGAGCTCTTTGTTGTAAATGACAGAAGTCCCAGTGACTCCATTAAGGCGCCATTAACGCTGTGTGCTCCTCGTGCATGTCTTTAAGAAGTATCAATGCTTTAAAGATAAGGAAATGGATGGATTGAATCACTCCTTTTCTTTTTAACGTAGCCTAATTGTTGTCTTTTTATAAAGTGAATGCGACCAGAACCAGGTTTTCAGCTGTCAGATACAGTATCAAACTCTTTTCTTGATATATATTTCATTAGCCTTTCTTGCAGTTGTCCATTTAAAAGTCAATGTATGTCTTGGATTCTACATAGAAAATGTAAAAATGTCAAAGAAGACGAACAAGAAGTAATATAAATCATAATACATGTTTTTGTGGGACTTTCACTTAGCGCGATGCCCCTGATCATGCTTTAAAAATCATATTTTCTTTAAGAATTGTGGGTCATTTCTGTATAAAACTGAGCAGCAGCGTTGCTGGTAAAGAATTTCCGGGGTGCTTCATCTCTGAAAAACAGAAGATTTAACGATTGGTTTTAGGCCTGTCAGGTGGCAAAACATGTACAGTACCGTTTCTGTTTTTTTTCTTGGTTGGTTTCTGTAATTGAGTTGTCTGATTAGGGCACGTAATATGTTTAAATGCATGCGTGAGAAGGAAGAGTGCTAACCCTAACTCTGGGGGATATATAAATAAAGTAGGTTTCAGCACAGCAGTTACAGTGATATTTGATCAGATACAACTTTATTCTTATTAAGTGCGAGTACTAAGATCAGGAAATACGAGTTTGCATCTATGCTTAAGGTAATGAGATATTCAGCCTTCACACAGTACAGTTAAATCATGGTCTAAAAGTGAGGCCGGATGATGATGATTAATATATTACCAGGAAGTCAGGTCTTTTTTTTTGCCCTTCTCACTTCCTTATTGAGTTTCCATGCTTTCCCAAGTGGTACAGAATATGGCTTCATGAAGTCTGTATTAACCAGGAAGTTAGCTCGTAAATCAATCTGAGGAGTACTTAAGGTTTCTATTGGACAGCTGTTGACATTACATTTAAACGGTGCAGTAGATGGAGAACAATAACTAGCTTGCCTGGACACAGTGTTATTCGAAAATAAAATATGTGCTCCATATGGTAATGAATCTGATTATGGTAAACTGGGATGATTTATTGTTTTTGTGGTTTCATTATCTGGGTCTCCTCTATTAGGCGCGTTCACACCGGAGTACTTTTCCCAGTATAGTTCAGATATATATTTCCGGAAATTTGCGTTCACACCAAAAAAATCCGGAACTCAAACTTAGTTCATGAGAACCTTTCCTCCCCCTTTTCAGTCCCTGCTAGAGAGCAGGTACTTTCATGGGAGAAAAAGGTTCCCATTTCTGATTGGCTGGGCGGATTGCAAACCACGCCCCGTAAAACCACCATTTTATTTGCTCGCATTAGCATTATTAGCATTAGCATTAGCCCAGCGCACCAACGGAGAGAGACTAACTTATGGCAACACAATCAGTGATGAGGAGGTGTCGGCGTTCTGGTGATTTACTCGGAAGGCTTCAGTAGAAGCTGCTGGGAGTCCCAGCAGCTTCTACTGAAGCCAGTCCCCAACTCCGGGGACATCCGGCCGGGGACTTCGGGTAGCAGTATACGCCGTGAAGTTGTTTGCGGCCTGCCAGTAAACCCAAAGCAGAAGAAGATGAAGTGACGTCAGCGGCTTCATTTGCCTAATCCTCCCTCAGGGACTTATTCCGGTGTGAACGCGATCTGGTCTTTAGTTCATCAGAACTAAAGAGTTCTGATTAACTAAGTTCTCATGAACTAAGTATGGCAAAGTACTTGGTGTGAAAGCGCCTATTGTTACTAAACTTGAAACATTTACTTGATTGAAATTGAGTTTTCAAGTGTCTAAGTGAACAGTATTAACTAAGGGAAGTGAAATCACTATGAATTTTAAGATTGATTAAATGGTAAGTGACTACATGATTGAGTTTTATTTATGTAGGCTACTTTTTTAAGTAAATAATGCATTGATTGTTTTTTTGGTAGTACTATTGCATCTTTTTCCAAGTATATTTTCAATTCACATTATGTGTAATGTTTTTTCAGCAAAATATATACAGTATTGTAGTTGTGAAAATATCGGTGTAAGACATGTAGCCTAATCGTTGCAAGTTCGCAATAAAAAAATGAATCTGCATTTATTCTTGAAAGGATATTTTCTAACAGCTTTGCGTTTTTTACCCTTTTTTCAGGGTAGCAACTGTTGTGCAACTGTCAGCATGACTTTATATTTGCACCATCTGGACGATAACTCCTAATTATATGTTGACCCTAACCCTAACCCTAACTCTTCATAATGCATAGTCACAGTCAGGTCAAAGTTTCTTGTTGACAAACTCTTTCATGACAACACGCTCGCCCCACATCTAATGAGAGGATTCCTTTTAAATCTGTGTGTGATATTTAACTTCTTCATATTACAATCGCCTGACCTTTTCGATGTAATCTCCGAAACCTCAACCGCACACATTCACTTAACAAAACTTTGATATTGGACAATCCTGTAAAACCTCACATTCAAATACAACCTGTGGTTTAACAAAGGTCTTTTCTGTATACTCCCTCCCTCCACCATTGAGTTTGCAACCAGTGTTGTTGTCTTGAAATGACAGAAACTTTGAAGCTCCAGTGAAAGTAGTGACAGATCTATGCAGAGCTGTATAGGATGACATGCACAGGGTAATGCATTATTCAAGGAACTGCTCAATAAGCAATCTAATTCAAGAAAATGTCTCCCTGCACACCTCACATTTTACAGCATCAGAGTGCGCTTCCAATCCCCCAGATGCACTCAAACACATGCTAATTCTATGGGGTAAGATATTCCTTTTTTTATGCAAAACTGAACATAGCATTTAAAGTTCTGAAAACATGCAATCTGCATAAATCTGGAGGGGGGATATCATAAGGGAAGAGTCTTCTAGCAAAAACACCAAGTAAATGAATATGTAGATTTGGTAGATTGTCAAAGATAATTTCATTATACATACTTGTCTAGCTCAAAAATAATTCATCAAAAAACAGATTTGTATTTTAAGTTCTTATCATAATCATAACTTTTGCTTAGCTTTGCTGTTAGCATCCTCCAACATCCATTCAACAGATGGTTTAAAACAAAATAAAAACATTCTTGTTTTTTATTACCCTTCTAATTATTTCTGGCATGTGTTAGTTGTTCCCGATCATCCTGTAGTAATTAGTTGTTCAAGGACACAATTAATCTTTTCTGTCAGACAGTTTTTCAATGTTTCGGTTACAAAAAGCCCACAATGCTTGCCGTAACCTCATAAATGATTGGGCAAACAATTAATTGTGACTGTGTGTTCAATGCCAACAGTGCACCATTTGTAGGAAAAGATAAACGGCCCCACAATAGCCGATATGGTAGCTTCCACTTTGTCGTGCAATTTTGGTTTGATTCATGCACTTCACCAACTGTTGTGTATGCACTATATGCAACAAGGCTTTGAACCTTATGCAACGTAGAAAATGGTAGAAAATGGCAGAGAATGTGTTTGTCTGTATTATATGAACTTACACAAAACACAAAACAGGTACAATTAGGGATTTAGGTGCCAAAAAACAACAACCAAAATGTGGTAAACAACAAGGCAAATGTCCCAAGCAGGCTGCAATGGCTCAATTTATTCACACCCTTCAATATATAACAATATTCTGTGTTAGTTGATAAAGTGACAGCAATTCTACATCACTGAATGTTATATTCAACAAAGATTTATATAGCTATTACTCATCACAGCTCTATTCAGTGGGACATAATGTGGACAAATCTGTGAAATCATCTCTTGGCCAGCCTATTTATTGTGGTTATCTGCCAAATCTAATCTATCATGAGGTAAATAAACATTACCGAATAACGTATATCTTTTTTTACACATGCATGTTTCACTATGAGGCTTACAGTATGTATCTTAATCACGTCATCATAAAGGCATTATTTTACCTTTGTGCTCTAGTTCTTGGCAAGTAATCTTTCAAGGCATAATAACAGTAGGGGTGCTCGCTGCATACATAGTAGATAAAACAAGACTACTTTCTGCGTCTGTTTATCTCACAAAAACCTGTTGTTGTAAATGGGTGTAGCTTACTGCAGGAGCATACAATCTTTTAAACTTCTTGATTTTTCTGTTTCTAAATTGCTTTTTCTAGAGCCCTCATGTATACATTTTTCTTATAAAGAATGTATACAAAAATAACATAATATATATCATATCACAAAATTACAAATGAACAACCGAGGCACCTATAATAGCTAATTGAGCCATAATTGACCAAAGATAAACGGCATGTAGGAAGAGGTCAAGATTAAATAAAACTGGTTTAAAAGGACTAAAAAAGTATTCCAGTTACATTTCTGATGAACTTGCTGAAGTAGCGCCATTGACCACTAGCACTAGTATAACAATTGTAAGTATTGTGAATAGTTTTGTATTTAAAAATACAGGTGGAACAGCGTAGATTAACATGTTTGGCCATATTGTCCAGCCATAGTAGTCACTGAATAAGTTCTGCTGATTATAGTGTGTACACAATGTCTGTTGTGTTTCAAAAAA